GAGTGCATCCCCCCCAGCTGTGGCAGGTCCAGGTTCATCTGCCCCTTACACTCCCCAGCCAAAGTAAGGAGGGTAGCAAACGGGTGCACTTTCCCTCGCTCCCTGATGAAGGGGAACAGTCAGCAATGTCCCCATACAAATATGGAGGGGAGCTTCAGCTCCCCCTCCACCCTTCCTAAAGGGTGCCTGTGGGGGTGGGAGACTCAGGGGGGGCAGTTCCAGATGGGAGGGCAGTACCCCCAGCCAGCCCCTTTCACTTGCCTGGTGATTCTTTTTTCTGTATGATTTTCTGAGAAGCAATCCCAATCCAGGCACATCCCATTTTCCTGGCACAACCCAAACCTGACCTTGCTTTAAGTTATAGTAAGAGCAAGCTGCCTGCCAAATGTGGTGGCCTTCGCCCTTACCGCTTAGGAGTTCTTGAACAAACAGACAGACAAACGCTGTCAAATATATAGTAAATTCTCACAACCCTCAGCTGGAAAAATAATGGGAAACTAAGCCACAGAAAGGGGAAGTGACTTGCCTGTGGCCATCATCCAGTCAGTCAAATGGCAGAGCTGGAAACAGAACTCAGGAGTCCTGATACCACTCTCATTCCCCCAGCTTTTATCCCACTGTAACTCTACTGACTTCCGTTAGGGTCACGCTGATTGACATAGTTTTAAAGCAGAACCAAACTGGGTCCCAAGTCCCCTGACTCCCAGACCTGGCACCTTTGGCGTTACCTTCTTGTTGAATTCCTGCGCCTTCTGTTTCCTCTCTTGGTGAATGGCATCGGTGCCCTGCATGCATCCCCGTACGCCGCTGCTGGTCCGTCGCTGCACCCGCCCAAACCGCAGCAGCCCCAGTCTCAGGGCCTTGCCTTGGCAGGATTTGATCAAGGCAGCTGCTGCTTCATTAAGCTTCACTGGGATCCCGTTGACTTCCAGCACATAGTCTCCTGGTTTGATTCCATACCCCAAAGCAGGCGAATCTGGGGCTACACTCTCCACTTGCAGGGGGCTGCCGCTGTTACACATCAGACTGAAGCCAAACTTTCCATCGGGGCCAGGGTGGATATCCATCTGCTGGATGCGTGAGACCACCCCAATGCTGGGAGGCACATTCTCACACTGCCTGGCCAGGTGGATGAGCGTCTCACAGTTCAGGGAGGAAACATGCTGGCCTTCTATCTCCAGGATCTGGTCTCCTGGCTGCAGACCAGCCACATGAGCACTGCTGCCTTCTTCTACTGCAAGGATGTAGCAAGGACCATCCCCACTTATCTTAAACCCAAACTCTTCAGGCCACCCCTGATTGGTGGCTGGCATGGTTGTAACTGGAAAGGGAGGGAAGAAAAAAGTTGTGAAATTGTTTCCTATACAGTTAGCACGCTAGCTCCAGCCATTGTTATCTGTGTAGGATGCTATCTGGTGGGAATTCTAGTCTGCTCTGAGTTCTCATCCCTTTGGAAAGGAGATGCCCATGATAAGGAGCGAAGATCCTTTTTATCCCTCATTACAAACTGCTCCTTCTCCTTCTCCTCTAATGTTGTTGGGGCACTAACTTAATCAGAACCAGGGAGCAAGTTTAACTGATTAGACAGACCTGATCCTTAACATAGTGTGAGCTAGGGATGTGAAGGACTAGTCGACTATCTGATAAGCAAATGCTCATCGGATAGTCGACAGGCTAGTCGACTAGTTGCTTCCCCCCTTGCTACATCTATCAGCAAGAGGCAGCAAGGGAGAGGAAGCGGAGGGGGTACTGCAAAGTGGCAGCGCCATATGGAGCCTGGGACCAGACCCCAGGCTGCATGCAGCACTGCCACTTTGAAACGCTGCGTGCAGCCCGGGGCCAGCTGTGGTGTCCCTAGGCTGCATGTGGCATCTCAAAGTGGCAGCGCTGTGTGGAGCCCGGGGTCAGCTGGGGACTTCCCTGATGACCCTGGGATCTGTGCACTGCTGCCACTTTGAAATGCCACGAGGAGCCTGACGCTGGGCTCCCCATGGCATTTCAAAGCAGCAGCGCCCATGGAGCCCAGGGTCAGCGAGGGAGTCCCCCGTCGCCTCCCCCACCCACTGACCCTGGGCTCCACGTGACACTTTTGCCTTTGAAGTGTAGCAACAGCCTTACTTCAAAGGCAAAATGCATCAACTATTCGATTAGTCAGTTATTCGCAATTTAACATCCCTAGTATGAGCTAGCATCTCCCTTGTCCAGCCTGTCTGTTAAATGTCAGCCACCCAGCCCCTTTCCTATGGAAGCAAATTAACTGTCATTTACCCATGAGTGAAACTATCATTGCTGCTAATGTCACACTAAAAGCCAGGACAAAAAGGATTGAAAAGAACAATATGTATAACAAATGTTTTACACTAGAAGACTTACCGGCCTTGCTTGGGTCCTTCAAGGCAGGGGGCTGGGGATGTGGGGATGCAGGAGTCAGGAAGGAGCTTGGAGATGTGGAGGGCTCAGGGCAGGAGGCTGAAGGTGTGGGGCTGCAGGAGTCAGAGTAGGGGGTAGGAAGCTCAGGGCAGGGGATGAGGATGCAGGAGTCAGGGTATGGGCTTGGGGGGAGTGGAGGACTCACAGGAAAGGGTGGGGGGCTCAGGACAGGGAGTCAGGATGGCCGGCAGCTGCTCCCCTGCGCAGGCCGGGGTGGCAGGGGCTATGCTGCCTGCCAGTGGCTGTTCCCTGAGGCTGGGGCACTTGCTGCCCTTCTGTAGTCATTCTGGGGTATAACTGTCCCCTGTGCTTGCTGCCCCCCCGTGGTCCATGAGTATAACTGTGCCTGTTATCACAGCCTTCCCTTTCTGTTTGATGAGAAACAATCGCATTCCACGTATATCCCATTGTCCTGGCACAACCAATCCTGACCTTGCTTTAAGTTAGGATAAGAGGAAGCTGCCTACCACATTTGATGATCCTAGCTCTTGCCGTTTAGAAGGAGTTCTTGAAGAAGCAGACTCTCAGACAGATGGACGGACATACAGACAGGCACCCCATGTAGATTACGTGATGACTGTAAAAGTATCTGTTTTAGAATTTGCCATATCCTCTAGAACCAGCTGGGATGAGCATTTATAGGCTTCACATAGGAGAGGTGACACTGCACTCATCCTGGTCTGGCCAAGACCATGTAAGCTGCAACATCCTTTAAGTGGCACTGATCCACTTTCAGTACAAAGAAGGGTAAACCCAGAATTGAAGAAGATGATGTTTGAAAGGCCTGATTCATGAGTAAAAACAACAGATTTGATTCTGCATCCATTGAAATCAATGGGGGCCTGGTAGCTCATGCTAAAGATGCAGGCATGAGGGTGACAAATGGCAAAACTCCTATTTGTAGGCACACCCATTAACTGTCCTTTGATACTCACTAAATAATTTTCATCATGCAGATTCACCCCCTCTTCTTGGATCCAACCTTTCTATGAAGATGTTGTTTACTCTCTGATTTATTTATTACACATTATTTAATATGCATTCAGCATATCTGAGAGGCTAGTAGAGACAGGGCCCTTGCAATCAAAATATTGCAAAGGAAATAAAAATTGCCTGAAATGACTGGATAAAATACTTTATGGAGGATTAGAGAGACAAGGTGGGTGACAGAACATATTTTATTGGATTAACTTCTGTTGGTGAAAGAGACAACAGAAACTGGTCCAATACAAAATATTACCTCACCCATATTGTTTCTCTAATATCCTGGGACCATTACTGCTACAACTGCACTACATATTATTTATGGATACTTGTCAGTAATTATCATCATGAATCATTAATCAATGATCATTGTGCATTTTTGGTTTTGCACTGTTCAACTCCAAAAGCCTCTCGACAGATTACAAAAAAGCAAAGTAACAAACCCCAAGCGGTTTTTAAACCAGTGCCTTTGGCCCAGTTCCAAATAAGCTCCAATAACAACTGCTAATAAAAAGAAAATCAGACTCCAGCATCTATCAGTCTTGATAGCTGGTGAGAGGGGAGTATTCCAGATACCTGAGTGTCATCTGAATATTGATTCTACTAAGGGGTGGTCACCAGAGAACCACCGAGAATTCCTATGCCCATTTGTGTACTCAGTGTCCAGTTCCTACTGCAGGGCTACTCAACATGTGGCCCACAGCCTGTTTGCGTGCAGCCCGCAGTGCAGTTGTGCTCAACACGTGGCCCGCAGGTGGGAGCCAAAAGAAAAAAGTAGTCAATATAATGGTCTTCTGTTGATATGTGTTTTAGTAGCTAGGTTCATGGACTGTCATTGCTCATTAAAAGTACTGTCATCTGGGTGGGAATCGGGTAAATATTGTGTTGTATTAATATCAGCAGAACTGACTTAAATGAGGCCTGCGTGTTGTGCAGCCTTGCCTTAATCTTTGTATTCATGCCTATCAGTGTGAAAGAAGCTATTTACATATATTTGCATGTATATGCAACCACACTTAAGTTGTAGCCCTTGGTATGTGAGTATCATTGTGGCCCCGGGGCTTCCAAAGTAGAGTAGCCCTGTCCTACTGGAAACTAAGGGAATGGGGTGCCTCTCTGTATGTCGGAAAATTTTTCTCTTTCTTATTTTTCCCTACTATTTTGAGTCACCCTTTATCTTTGCCAGCCCCTTCACTAAGAAGCATTCATCCCCAGTAGAAGTATACATGTGAGAGAAACCGTGGCATCATCGTTTCAGCTGTTCTTTATCCAGTGACCATTGGGCTAGCTTGACTGGTCTAATTCCAATTTTAGTGACAAAATTATATTTTCTCTTCTCACCTACGTGCTGAGGAGCCTTCCTCGTATTCTGTCATTTGGAAATGAGCAAGAGATTAAAAGATTTTTAATATCCTATTAAAGTCCAAGTAAGTGAAAGACAAAAATCGCTAACCTCCTTCTCTTGGCAGGGATGACATGGAACAGCTTGTGCACAGGGGGAAAGGACAGTTTGGGGGGAGAGAGAGTGAGATCCATTACTATAGAAACCTTATTAATAATCACTGTCTGGATCTGCTGCTGCAAATAGCTACTTGGCTTACAAAGGAATATTAAAAGAAGTAAACAACAAGAATAACTAAAAGAGAGACATAACAACTGTTTGTGAGTGTTGGACAGGTGAAAATGTTCAGGAGAGGAGAGAAAGGAAAGTGTTCAGAGTAGAATAAGCCTGGGATCAATTGTGTGAAATTAAGCAAAAGAAAATTTAAACTGCGTATCAGGATGTCTATTAGGCTATAAAGTGAGCTCCCCAAAGGAAGTCTGGAGACCCCAGACCACAGCCATATAAGCAGGGAGACAGTTGTCCTTTAGGCTGGCCATGTGAAATGAAACTAGACAAAATAATGTGACTGTATAAGGGAACAACGCTGCCTTGGCTAAATGGAGATGGACCAAGTGACCATCTACAGTACGTCTTTTCCGGTTCTAATTATATGAAACTCTGATATGAGAAAAGACTTACAGAAATCTGTGGCCCTCGGAGGCAGGCCAGCCAGGTTTTCACAAAGGGCACGTATGTAGCCCTGAGATTTCAGGACTCTCTTCATTCTCATCCGTTTCCTTCAGAAGCAAATACCATTGATCCACACAAATTCATTTACTTCTTCAAGTAGCCTGGTCTGATCAGCTGCTATATCCACAGTCCAACATTCAAAGTGCACTTCACTGGGGAAGAATAGCCTACACACTTTTTTTTCTTCAGTCCCACAATAGTGACTAAGCAGGCAAAACACTCATGTAAGGCACCTTTGTGGTAAAATTGTTGAGATCAGCAATATAAAGAGAGATGTATTCTAGCAGGGTTTCATTTTTCCTCACTCACCTCCAACAGACTACCACTGCAACAACGTTCCAGTCTCCTTAGAACAGAGGAAGTCCCCCTTGAGATGCTGTGTGTTAGCTGCCTGCGTATTTTTTCCTCCCCTCTTTAATCTGTCACCCCAAAGAGAACTGCAAACTGACGGCAGTGTTAGTAATAGCTGTCTCACTGAGACAGTAATAGCTGACCTGAGACTGAAGACCTATAAGTGGAATTAGAATGTGAAAGGAGTTAAAATGGATTAAAGCCAGAGCACAGAAATACATGACCCACATGAGCAAATCAAAACAGATAGCAGCAGAAATACAGTGCTAGAGAATGACCAGAAGCTCTGTCCAAGCCTGGCCCTGCAACCAGCTGTGTTGAGGAGAAAATCAGGGATATTGTGCTAGGTAGGAATGCACCAGTACATATCTGGAACACAGACAAGCCACACAGATGAAAGCCAAGATCTAGGCTAAACAGTGTAATCAGAACTGTGTTTCCTACTTGCTACTCGGACTCAGCCCCCATGCAAAGAAACCAGT